TGTTGGCCCAGCACCTCTAGTTCACCCTCTCTTTGTACACGTCTTTCTTCACTTCTCTTCCCTTCATTTTTTCCCTTTCTTCTCTACCTGCTAGTTTCCTGCTCTTCCTTCTCTACCTGCTAGTTTCTTGCTTTACTTTCAGATTTTTTGCTCTCTTTTCTGCTACATGCTAGTGAGGGGGGTCTTTTGATCCAGGTAATTAGAACACAGGTAGCATACCTGGATCCAAGTGGTTTGTTTTGATCCAGAAGGTTGTCCTTTTAAAAGTCTGTTGTGCAGTAAATTTTCTTTTCTTCTTAAGATGGGTGATCCTCCTCCACCTTTTTTCTCTCATGTTATCTCTTGTGTGTATGTATATACGCTCATTATTCTCTCTCTCTCTCTCTCTCTCTCTCTCTCTCTCTCTCTCTCTCTCTCTCTCTCTCACCTGCCCATTCTTCCCTGCCATGCCTCTTGCTGGGTCGCTGGAGGAGATACCGTGCCGCCTCTTCGTTCGTTGTGGTTGATGGTGGGAGGGCGGGGGTGTTAGGACGAGGACGGAGTGGGCGTGATCGAGGGTGGACCTGTGTATACTTACTCGGGATATGCCAAGGTATCGGCCACAATTTTGGTACCGTCCCATCCCTAGTACTTACCTGTGTGTGGTTGCAGGGATTGATTCTCTGCTCCGCTTGTTAGATTCACTCCATCCTAGTCTTGTGGACCCTGCCGTGCCTACTCTCAAAGCTGTGTAAAGGGAGATGCAGGTGATGGAGGGGGGGGGGGGGGGTAAATAAGTTGGTTAAGGAGTGGGAAGAGTGAATATGAGGGGTGGGTGTGTACTCACCTACAGCTCCTGTCCCCGCCTTTTCGCTGGCCATTACTGAGTTCACGCACTAGGATATCATGTGTGAACTCAGTACGAGTTATTTGTGTGTTGTTCCGGTCGCAGTATTGTGCCTGTTTTGTTTTTTGTGTGTGGGTGTGTGCATGGGTGTGTAGTGGGTGGGTGGGTTGATGGGTGGGTGGGTTGATGGTGGGTGGGTTGTAGGTGGGTGGGTTGTAGGGTGCTCAAGACGACAACAAGGTGTTTGGCTAGTCAAGACACTTGTCCTATTATTTAAAGAGATAGGACGCGTCACCCGCTGATAAGGATGGACGGGGAGTGGCCGGGTGTGGGGGAGGGTCGGTGGGTCGGGTGGCAGGGTGGAGGGGGCCGGGTGGGGGTGGCAGGGTTGTGGGGGCCGGTGGGTGGGGTGGCAGGGTGGCGGGGACTGGTGGGTGGTGTGACAGGGTGGGGGCGGCCAGCCACCTTTGTACCTCTGCCGACTCCACACATTAGAATTTTTATGTCGCTAGTTATAATGCTGCTCCATCTACTCTCCTTCCTTCTCTCCCCCATTCTTGCACTCCTTCAATGTCTCTGTCTCTCTCTCTGTCTGTCTGTCTCTCTCTCTCTCTCTCTCTCTCTCTCTCTCTCATATTTGAATGCTAAAATGTTGTCTTGGTATCTGCTGTCTGGCTTACTCGATGAATGGCATTCTTACTTAGTGATTTACTCTAAGGCTGATTTACCGAGGATATTATTGAATACATTATTGTCTAGGATAGAATATAAATTAGCCCCTTAGATGGACTAGTGAAAGATAGTCACTGAACGTTGTATCAGCACCTTTCTTTCACAGCAGTCACTGAACGTTGTATCAGCACCTTTCTTTCACAGCAGTCACTGAACGTTGTATCAGCACCTTTCTTTCACAGCAGTCACTGAACGTTGTATCAGCACCTTTCTTTCACAGCAGTCACTGAACGTTGCAAACTATTACTGTGAATTCGAAGTAACTAATATTTTGCCGTCAAAGAGGCTAGTTTGTGTACTATGTATCTTTCGTGGATGGTAGCGGCTAGTATCATATATCTACCCTGCGGATAGTAGCTGCTAGTTTATGCACCATGTATCCATCCTGTGGATGGTGGCTGCTAGTTTCTGTTCTGTATATCCATTCTGTAGATGATAATGGCTAGTTTGTATAACATATACCAAGTCTGTGGACGGTAGAATACTTGAAGTATGTTTTCGAAGGGTCAACGCCCCCGCGGCCCGGTTCTAGTCCAGGCCTCCTGGTGGATCAAGTCCTGATCATCCAGACTGTCACTGCTTGACAGCGACTAGCTGGTGTACGCCATTGTACATAATTATAATGACAGGTTATTGTGGGCAGTTGTATGGGCAGTGAGGCGATGATGGTGCAGGCAGCAGTTGTTTTTATCAGGGCAAGTACCAGTATTAAATTAGAGAGAGAGAGAGAGAGAGAGAGAGACAGACAGACAGACAGACATACTGTCTGCCTCTGCATATCTGTTAGACAGATATACAAAGGCAGACAGACAGACAGGTAAGCGCGACTGCAAAAAATTGATTGATAGGAAGACATACTGAGACATAAGAGAGTACGAAAGTCAGAGGCGCAGATGAGAGGTGGCTAGAGTGGTGACGGGGGGGGGGGGGCGTCTTTCACATTGTTAGGTCATGTCCTGCTGGTGCCTGAGGTGATTGCTCCAGAGTTTTTTGCGAGTATTCACCGTGTTGGTGCGTTATTCATCCGCTTATTGATAATCGGTGATACAACACTTGAGTCATGAATACACAAATAACCTGCACTTAGGAGACAAACTTATGACGACGTTTTGGCCCAACTTGGGTTGATTCATTTATTCATGAACAGACGGACCTTGGCATCTGGCGTTTACTTGTCCTCTAAGATATGTTTAAGGAGCAGCACCTCTGCTATTCCGTTTGCAGTTATGCTTTATTGAATTTGGCTTGTGTATACTTATGGGGTGTGTCGTGTCTTGCTGCGATTGTTACCTGTGTGTACTTACCTAATTGTTGTTGCAGGGGTCGTGTCTCGGCTCGACCCCTCCCCCCCCCTCGTCTGTGTATGTGTGTTACCACCAATTGTTAGAGGCACCTGTCAGTAGATACTTCGCTTGGCCCGGTTGTGTGTTTCTTTGTGTATGTATGTATACTCACCTTTATGTATTCACCGGTATGTGGTTGCAGGGGGTTGAGTCCTTGTCCGTGGCCCTGCCTCTTAACTTGCCGCTTATCTAAATCACTCCTAGCCTCTTGGACCTTATCGTACCTACTCTTCAATCTGTATATGGAGCCTGCCTCCACTTCGTCGAGATCAATACACTTCCCGATCACCCTGAGACTGAAGAAATACTTCCTGACTTCCCTGTGACTCATCTGTGTCTTTAACTTCCTACTGTGCCATCGTTTACCAGTTTCCACTTCTCGTGCAGTCTTAATCTATTCTGTCAGGTCCTTTGAGTATTTTGTAGGTCGCTGTCATGTCTGCTTTATCCTCTGATGTCGTTAGGTTCACTTCCTTGATAACAAAAAAGGCACAATACCGTGACTGGAACGATACACAAATAACCCGCACATAAAAGAGAGAAGCTTACGACGACGTTTCGGTCCGACTTGGACCATTGACAAAGTCACACAGTCACACAGTGTGACTTTGTCAATGGTCCAAGTCGGACCGAAACGTCGTCGTAAGCTTCTCTCTTTTATATGCGGGTTATTTGTGTATCACTCCCTTGATCCTACTCTTATACATCATTCCCCCTACCTCTGGGACTAGTCTCGTTGCATACCTTTGCACTTTCTCTAATTTCTTAATCTCAATATGCGTGTTGCATACTCCAAGATAGGCACAACATATGTCGTATACAGCTCCATAAATGAGTCTTTTTGAGACTACTGAAAGCTACTCTTAGATGTGCAGAACGAGCATTCACTGTAGAGGTTGTTCAGTAACTATGTATCTCTGGTGATATACTCTGTATTCTACACACCCCTAGGTCTTTCTCCTTGAGTGAAGTTTGCGGCCTCTGTTTGCCGAGTCTGTATTCAGTTTTTGACATAGCGTATTCCCACTTTTCATAACTTTGTATTTGCTGGGGTTGAAGCCCAGTAGTCACTTGTCCGATTAATCTTGCAGTTTGTTCTGGGTCATCTGAAGCCTATCCTCGTCCTCATCACTGTTTATTCTCGTTAATTTTTGCATCATCTAATGACACGGCTGTATCTGATTCCATCTCTTCGGGCATGTCATTCACATATAACAGAAACAGTACTGGTCCTAATGTTGATTCTTCCAGCACCTCAATTGTTATACTTGTTATACTCTCTGATTCACTGTACCACATTCACTTGTATTAATGCTTGCTCATCAAGACTTTGAGTCTCTTGTATGGTACGGTATCCAGTTCTTTCTTGCAGTCCAAGAAAATGCAGTCCTTCTATCACTCTCTTTTCTGTCTCACTTCTGTTATTTTTCTCATAGAACTCCAGCAGGTTTGTGAGGCAAGATTTACCATCTCTAAACTCACGCTGATGGTTGTTCATAAAACCATGTCTCTTCAAGTGCTCTGCCACCCTCTGATTATCTTCTATATTACCTTACATAATCTGCATGTAGGTGGCTACTGCTCTGTAGTTTAACGCTTCCTCTTACCTTTCTTAAATATTGGAATTTACATTCGCTCTCTTCCAGATCTCTTACAATTGTCATATTTCCATTGATATATTAATTTTAGCTAGTGGTTCAGAAAGTGCTTCTGTTCCCTTTCACTGAATCTGTGGTGACTTTCTCTTCGGTCCTGTTGCTTTTGATGAGTCTAGTTCTCTCAAAACTGTTTTTTTTAATTTTTGTTATGTGTATGGCGTCCTGTTGGGCACTTGATGTTTGAAGCATTGGTGGCTGAGTGGACTAAGGCGTCTCGTAATTTTGGCAGGCTTCTCACGAGGCGTGCTCAAAGCTCGAGGGTTCGATTCCCGGCCAATCACAATATTGTTAATTGCTTAAAACCACTCGTTTATGGATGCATTAATATATATATATATATATATTATATATATATATATATATATATATATATTATATATATATATATATATATAAAATCCATTGCTTAGGTAATTCCATTAAAAACTTTCTTTTTTCCAGGATGATGATGACTCGACTTCCATCCTGTCGGTAAGTCAGTGGATGCCTGGGATTACCACCAGTGTGTATAGTACGTGTTTGTTCTCGTATACAGTACTGTGTGTAGTAACACGGTCTCGTGCAGTGATTATAGTTCATGGATGTTCACCTATACAATAGAGTCTGTCGATATTGAATGATCTAGTACATTGGTTTGTTATAAGTGTTTTTGCCTGCAGTATGGCGCTGACGGACAGGAGTGGATGTTAGCAGCTGCCAAGAGTGACTTTAATGAAATCCTGAGATTGCTGAAGGTACACCCAACACTCGCTAGGTACAAGGTAAGTTACCCTGTGTGTTATTACAGGACCCTGGCCAGGTACAAGGTAAGTTACCCTGTGTGTTATTACAGGACCCTGGCCAGGTACAAGGTAAGTTACCCTGTGTGTTATTACAGGACTCTGGCCAGGTACAAGGTAAGTTACCCTGTGTGTTATTACAGGACTCTGGCCAGGTACAAGGTAAGTTACCCTGTGTGTTATTACAGGACCCTGGCCAGGTACAAGGTAAGTTACCCTGTGTGTTATTACAGGACTCTGGCCAGGTACAAGGTAAGTTACCCTGTGTGTTATTACAGGACTCTGGCCAGGTACAAGGTAAGTTACCCTGTGTGTTATTACAGAACTCTGGCCAGGTACAAGATAAGTTACCCTGTGTGTTATCACAGGACTCTGGCCAGGTACAAGGTAAGTTACCCTGTGTGTTATCACAGGACTCTGGCCAGGTACAAGGTAAATTACCCTGTGTGTTATTACAGGACTCTGGCCAGGTACAAGGTAAGTTACCCTGTGTGTTATTACAGGACTCTGGCCAGTACAAGGTAAGTTACCCTGTGTGTTATTACAGGACTCTGGCCAGGTACAAGGTAAGTTACCCTGTGTGTTATTACAGGACTCTGGCCAGGTACAAGGTAAGTTACCCTGTGTGTTATCACAGGACTCTGGCCAGGTACAAGGTAAGTTACCCTGTGTGTTATTACAGGACTCTGGCCAGGTACAAGGTAAGTTACCCTGTGTGTTATCACAGGACTCTGGCCAAGTACAAGGTAAGTTACCCTGTGTGTTATCACAGGACTCTGGCCAGGTACAAGGTAAGTTACCCTGTGTGTTATCACAGGACTCTGGCCAGGTACAAGGTAAGTTACCTTGCGTGTTATCACAGGACCCTGGCCAGATACAAGGTAAGTTACCTTGCGTGTTATTACAGGACTCTGGCCAGGTACTAGGTAAGTTACCTTGCGTGTTATCACAGGACCCTGGCCAGGTACTAGGTAAGTTACCTTGCGTGTTATCACAGGACTCTGGCCAGGTACAGGGTAAGTTACCTTGCGTGTTATCACAGGACCCTGGCCAGGTACTAGGTAAGTTACCTTGCGTGTTATCACAGGACCCTGGCCAGGTACTAGGTAAGTTACCTTGCGTGTTATCACAGGACTCTGGCCAGGTACAAGGTAAGTTACCTTGCGTGTTATCACAGGACCCTGGCCAGGTACAAGGTAAGTTACCTTGCGTGTTATCACAGGACCCTGGCCAGGTACTAGGTAGGTTACCTTGTGTGTTATCACAGGACCCTGGCCAGGTACTAGGTAAGTTACCTTGCGTGTTATCACAGGACCCTGGCCAGGTACAAGGTAAGCTACCTTGCGTGTTATCACAGGACCTTGGCCAGGTACAAGGTAAGTTACCTTGCGTGTTATCACAGGACTCTGGCCAGGTACAAGGTAAGTTACCCTGTGTGTTATTACAGGACTCTGGCCAGGTACAGGGTAAGTTACCTTGCGTGTTATCACAGGACTCTGGCCAGGTACAGGGTAAGTTACCTTGCGTGTTATCACAGGACTCTGGCCAGGTACAGGGTAAGTTACCCTGTGTGTTATCACAGGACCCTGGCCAGGTACAGGGTAAGTTACCCTGTGTGTTATCACAGGACTCTGGCCAGGTACAGGGTAAGTTACCCTGTGTGTTATCACAGGACTCTGGCCAGGTACAGGGTAAGTTTCCCTGTGTGTTATCACAGGACTCTGGCCAGGTACAAGGTAAGTTACCCTGTGTGTTATCACAGGACCCTGGCCAGGTACAAGGTAAATTACCCTGTGTGTTATTACAGGACCCTGGCCAGGTACAAGGTAAGTTACCCTATGTGTTATCACAGGACCCTGGCCAGGTACAAGGTAAGTTACCCTATGTGTTATCACCAGACCCTGGCCAGGTACAAGGTAAGTTACCCTGTGTCACCACACACACCAGGTACTAGATAAGTTAACCTGTGTGTCAGCACTCACCAGGTACTAGATAAGTTAACCTGTGTGTCAGCACTCACCAGGTACTAGATAAGTTAACCTGTGTGTCAGCACTCTCACCAGGTACTAGATAAGTTAACTTGTGTGTCGACACACTCACCAGGTACTGGATAAGTTAACTTGTGTGTCGACACACTCACCAGGTACTTGATAAGTTTACCT